CAAATGGAGGCTGAAAAAGCCTGGTGAGGGGGTTGTCCCTCACAGTACGGGCACAGAGCGGGGCAGTGATAGATCACGGAGAGCCCCTTCTGTCGTAATACCGCGGGGACTCTGGCTCAGTCCGGAAACGCTCGGGCCTGGTACTGCTCCTTCACGCAGACAGCTTACAGTGACACAGTTCCTTGTACATCTGGCGCCTCAGTTTCGGCATATCCTGCTGGCCGAAAGAAAATGGCAGCTCCAGCGCCAGGAACTTGCAGTACTGCAAAGACAAAGCCCACACGGGACATTAGAGCGGCCAGCTTATATCTTAGAAATAACAGTATGTGAGAGTTCCAAATTGCAGCAGATAGCGGCCTTTCCAAACCCGGGGTCCTTGGAACCCTCCAGACATCGCTAGCGGTTCATTGAGCAGTGACCAACTTCTGCCTCCAATTAATAACCAGTGACCCTCCACCGACCACCCATACACGAAGGCCCTTCTCCACCGACCACCCATACACGAAGGCCCTTCTCCACCGACCACCCATACACAAAGGCCCTTCTCCACCGACCACCTATACACGAAGGCCCTTCTCCACCGACCATCTATACACGAAGGCCCTTCTCCACCGACCATCTATACACGAAGGCCCTTCTCCACCGACCATCTATACACGAAGGCCCTTCTCCACCGACCATCTATACACGAAGGCCCTTCTCCACCGACCATCTATACACGAAGGCCCTTCTCCACCGACCATCTATACACGAAGGCCCTTCTCCACCGACCATCTATACACGAAGGCCCTTCTCCACCGACCATCTATACACGAAGGCCCTTCTCCACCGACCATCTATACACGAAGGCCCTTCTCCACCGACCATCTATACACGAAGGCCCTTCTCCACCGACCATCTATACACGAAGGCCCTTCTCCACCGACCATCTATACACGAAGGCCCTTCTCCACCGACCATCTATACACGAAGGCCCTTCTCCACCGACCATCTATACACGAAGGCCCTTCTCCACCGACCATCTATACACGAAGGCCCTTCTCCACCGACCATCTATACACGAAGGCCCTTCTCCACCGACCATCTATACACGAAGGCCCTTCTCCACCGACCATCTATACACGAAGGCCCTTCTCCACCGACCATCTATACACGAAGGCCCTTCTCCACCGACCATCTATACACGAAGGCCCTTCTCCACCGACCATCTATACACGAAGGCCCTTCTCCACCGACCATCTATACACGAAGGCCCTTCTCCACCGACCATCTATACACGAAGGCCCTTCTCCACCGACCATCTATACACGAAGGCCCTTCTCCACCGACCATCTATACACGAAGGCCCTTCTCCACCGACCATCTATACACGAAGGCCCTTCTCCACCGACCATCTATACACGAAGGCCCTTCTCCACCGACCATCTATACACGAAGGCCCTTCTCCACCGACCATCTATACACGAAGGCCCTTCTCCACCGACCATCTATACACGAAGGCCCTTCTCCACCGACCATCTATACACGAAGGCCCTTCTCCACCGACCATCTATACACGAAGGCCCTTCTCCACCGACCATCTATACACGAAGGCCCTTCTCCACCGACCATCTATACACGAAGGCCCTTCTCCACCGACCATCTATACACGAAGGCCCTTCTCCACCGACCATCTATACACGAAGGCCCTTCTCCACCGACCATCTATACACGAAGGCCCTTCTCCACCGACCATCTATACACGAAGGCCCTTCTCCACCGACCATCTATACACGAAGGCCCTTCTCCACCGACCATCTATACACGAAGGCCCTTCTCCACCGACCATCTATACACGAAGGCCCTTCTCCACCGACCATCTATACACGAAGGCCCTTCTCCACCGACCATCTATACACGAAGGCCCTTCTCCACCGACCATCTATACACGAAGGCCCTTCTCCACCGACCATCTATACACGAAGGCCCTTCTCCACCGACCATCTATACACGAAGGCCCTTCTCCACCGACCATCTATACACGAAGGCCCTTCTCCACCGACCATCTATACACGAAGGCCCTTCTCCACCGACCATCTATACACGAAGGCCCTTCTCCACCGACCATCTATACACGAAGGCCCTTCTCCACCGACCATCTATACACGAAGGCCCTTCTCCACCGACCATCTATACACGAAGGCCCTTCTCCACCGACCATCTATACACGAAGGCCCTTCTCCACCGACCATCTATACACGAAGGCCCTTCTCCACCGACCATCTATACACGAAGGCCCTTCTCCACCGACCATCTATACACGAAGGCCCTTCTCCACCGACCATCTATACACGAAGGCCCTTCTCCACCGACCACCCATACACGAAGGCCCTTCTCCACCCACCACCGATACACGAAGGCCCTTCTTCACCGACCACCTATACACGAAGGCCCTTCTCCACCGACCACCCATACACGAAGGCCCTTCTCCACCGACCACCCACACACGAAGGCCCTTCTCCACCCACCACCCATACACGAAGGCCCTTCTTCACCGACCACCTACACACGAAGGCCCTTCTCCACCGACCACCCATACACGACGGCCCTTCTCCACCGACCACCTACACACGAAGGCCCTTCACCACCGACCACCTATACAGAAAAGCCCTTCTCAACTTCCTGTTGCTGCTCCTGTACTGGGAGTTGTAGAAAGGAGGAGATTCCGGAGATCTGAAATGTTTCTCATTTTTTAAGGGGTTCCATGTTAAGAAGTTTGAAAAAGGCCGGCATATGCAAATGTATCATGACCACCTCGGGATGGAAAGTAGGGGTTAGTGTGGGGGGTTGGAGATAGGAAGGAGGGGAGATGTTATATTGGCCTAGGGAAGGGATAGCCAAACTCCGGCCCTCCAGCTGTGGTGGAACTACAAATCCCATGAGGCATTGCGAGATTCTCCCAGCCACAGACATGACTCCCGGAGAGAGATGCATCATGGAATTTGTAGTTTCACCGCAGCTGGAGGG